ATAATCTACTCCGATATTATCATCAAGACGACAACCACGAGTACACTGAGTTTCGGAGTGGCTATCATGATATCCGCAAGAGCATCGAAGGCTCTCATGCAGTGAGAACCAATCTCCTCCACGATCATGATCATGACAACAAGATTCAAATGAAAAGGAAGGAAGGTTGAGTGTCCAAAGGTGACATGGAGGAGATCGTGGGAGGAAGAAATGAAAGCTTCCGGGTAGTTGTAGAGTCAGATTAAAAAGACTGCAGAGAAGAGAGTGAAATGGAGACGTGCTATTGAAGCCCTATGTTCCACTAGGAACCCAAACGATAAATTAGTAATGATAATAGTTTATTTAGTGAGAGTAATGATGAGACTTCGAGAGGATTAGTGTGTAGTCTGATCGGTAGACAATTACGACATATAACTAATGGTAAATATAACTGCGTCAATGTGACCGATATTTAGCTATGTCACCTACAGTTCTCATCATTTCACGAACCCCAACCAAGCAGCTTATATCTCCCCATATGAATCAGATCAATAGTCAGAGACATTGTCAACTGGTCCTACTGGTTTGGTCACCCTGAACCCTCTGCCAACCTAATAAAACGCCTAGCATGGAACGTCGAGGAAGACAGTGGCTTGGCATGCATAGTACATGTCCAAGCTACCTCAGCCCATGAAGCTTTACAACCTAATCAATCGACTTGCCTGTCTTGCTTAGTGCCCCTCACCTGACTTCAACATTGCTCACACGGTGATCTCATCAAACGAGAGCAATGTTACGAAGCTCCCTATAATCAATAACCTGTAACCAATTCATATCTCCTGCTTTGAAAACAGCCATGTCTTACAGCCGAACAAAAGGACGGAACGTACAGCAATGCAGTATACTCGTCCTTTGATTGATAGTCGGATATATCGCCAGTCGGGATCATAGGTAATGTAAATTGTTAAACACAAAACGAGCCTTCTATATTCAAGTTGAGATTTCACCAGCAACCAGCCCGTTCAGTGGGTTGATGCAACTTCCGAAGTAGGTAAAGGAGTACTTAGAGTAGATCAATCTTGGAGAATCATCTTACATTTGACAGGTGCCAGTAAAATGCATACCGAAAAAACATATTCAGAATTCTACTCAACATCTTCATAAGACCCTATATTTCGTCAGCATCTTCAGCTAGCAGGATAAAATCATCTATATACCACAAGTCAGTCGTCAGATGACTTCCAGAGAGTATGTCAATCCATGTGAAGTCAGATATGCCTAAGGTTATATTCGTTGGTACATCTATGATGAACTTAAACAAGGACAGTGATAATAGACATTCCAGACGGACACCACTCATCATCATCCTCAAAATCAACATACGACCAGGCATTAGTGTGTAACGGTTGGTGTTACCACACCTCACATCAAGTGACAGGGCAATAAAATGGAAGGTCAAGAATCGAAGAAAAATCGGTCAAAAGAAGTAGAAAGTAGTAAAAAAGAGGAATGAGGATAATGTGTGTATACATCTGTGCCACTGACATCAGTTCTCAGGCATGTCATCACCTAGAGTCTCTAAGCATTGGTTTCTGTTATCCTGCGGACCCCAGCCAGCTAGTCTGCATTGCCCAACATGGCTTCAACCAACAGTCAGCAACTTCATGCATTGATGCTATGTATAACTCTGACCATCTCGAGACGTTTTCCAACCTGAATCTACTCTGTCCAATATTGTGCGACAAGGCAGATGATGGTTAGGCATATATAACACATGTCCCAGCCCCAGACATCTCAGTCGATGAAGGTTCATAACATACTTGACTTCTGGGTGACTGATGTGGTGACATCATGACACACAGGTTATGCTGCAAAACCAACGGTGGTCGAACACCACAAGCTTCCTCATGTACTCTACATTCAATGGCGATATTTCACAGTCATACAGTCGAACAGAGTGGACTGCAACATAGTAAACTCAATCCTTAATAGACAATCGATTATCCTGGTGTATGTTGGCAAAGGCCTTTTGTATGCTTGAAGAGATTTCATCGGACGATGATCCACCAGGGTTAATCATTTATCACTACTCTCGTTAAACAGTAAATATTAAATAGAATTTAAGTATTATTTATTTATGAATTTAATGGTGAGATGGAACATGGTTAGATATACAGCTTTATATTGTAAGGAAAGTAAATCAATTGACAAGACAACGTAGTTGTGTTATTATTCATTGTAGACTGACATCAGTTGGAGGAACAAAGGAAACCTGGGAGCACTGGACAGCTGTTTCGTCCTAGTATGGGACTCCTCAGCAGTGCACACCCACGACCCCACCAGCAGGGGTCGAACCCGCGACCTTCAGGTTCCGCGGCCAGCCAGGTCGCGGGTTCGATCCCTGCTGGTGAGTTCGTGGGTGCGCACTGCTGAGAAGTCTCATACTAAGGGGACGAAACAGCTGTCCAGTGTTCTCAGGTTCCCTTTGTTCCTCTTCAACTGATGTCAGTGTACGATGAATAACAATTTGAAATAATTCCAACTCTCCACAACCCCTCAAAATTTAGTAGTTGTGTTAGTTGATTGAAGGTAATCAGCAAGAAAGCTCTGAAACCAGGTTTCGCAGTTGTTCGTACTCATCAGCAAGGAGTATCTTCAAGTAACATTAATGAAACGGCACAGTAACTAGTAAGCCTCTGAGTTGGATGACAACATAGAGTTCGATCAGTGTACACACTGAAAGGTAGTTGAGGTATAATGGCAACATGTATCCACTCACAACAACTCCACTTAAATAGAGGATATTTACTTTAAGGTAATCTGATTATATTACATTACAGGTTAACAAAGTTGTTAAGCTGTTCCAATGAATTCAAGTCTGACTGACCTCCACAGTCTTCAAATTTCACGACGAAATATACAGACAAACAGATGGAATAGCAATGGGATCACCAATATCCCCAATCGTAGCAGATATATATTTATAGATAGTTGGGAAAACATGGTTTCACAAACGTTTAGTCCTGCATGAAAGATATGATGGCGATATGTTGATGACACATTTACTTACTGTGTTGAAATCAGAACATATCAACAATTTCCTCATGCATATAAACTCAGTAGTAGGTGCAATCGAATTCAATTACAACGAGGTAGAAAATGAACAAGGCTAATTACCTATATTGGATTGCAGAATAAAACGAAGAACAGACGATGGCTTGGATACTACTGTTTATAGAAAACCAACACATTTCAACAGGTATCTAGACTTCAAATCATCTCATCCAATATCAGTCATTGAAGGCAGGTTTAGTCAAATGTCTAGGCGACAGAGTTAGAAAACTGACTAGTCAGTATAAAAATTTAAAGAAGGAACTGAAGTATGTTAACTGTTGATAATTTACCGATACAGTTTCTGAAGAAATTCATACGAAAACACAAGAAACGAAGTAATAACAGTAACACGACTAGGAAGGAGTTCACAGCCTTCATTGTGTTATCCTATCAGGAAGGTATATCAGAAAGTTTACTTAGGATACTCAACGCAGCTGGAATTAGTTTTGGTGGCATTAAAACCTGCAAACTCACTCAAAGATGAGCTATGTCGATTGGTTTCAGGATCCGATAGAACGAATTAAAGCAAAATAATTTAATCTGTCAAATACCATGTAATTGACTATGGAGTGAGGTCAAGTACATAGGTCAAATTAGCGGGTCGGAGTCAGTTAGAACAACAGAATATAGAAGTTTACCTAAATGTAGAATGATAGACCCGAATAAGATTAATAATCCAGAAAAGTATCTCGGCTATTGCAATAGACGCATGAACAACATACAACCTCACGATAGGGTGGGATAAAAACCATTGTACTCAAGTCCAATATGACTACTAGATGGGGATTGATTACTGAATCGCTATTCATCGAATCAACACCCAACAAATAAAAGAAGCGCTAATAGTTAATAATTATCCTCCACAGTTTATTAAGAAATTCTTATGGACACACGAAAAACGAAAAATAACAGTCACACGAGTGTGACTAATAACGACAACACGAGAAAAAAGGAGTTCACAACCTCCATTGTATTACTTAATAAGGAGGGTACGTCAGAAACTTTACGTAGAATCCTCAACAGAGCTGGAATCAGTTATGGTGGCATTAAAACCTACAAACTCACTCAGAGATAAGCTTTGTCGGTTGGCTTAAGGATCCAATAGAACCAATTAAACCAAATAATCTAATCTATGAAATCCCATGTAATGACTGTGAGGTCAAGTATATAGGTGAAACTAGTCGATCGGGGTCAGTTACAATAGTTGAACATAGAATAACAAACCTAAATAAGGGTCAGTGATCTAGAGGGAGACTCGGCTATTGTAATGAACACAATATGATGGGTGGGATAATACCACTGTACTTATGTCCAATAGAATTAGGTGGAGAGAGAGAGAGAGGGGGGATTGATTAATGAATCGAATCAGCCAACACCCAGCACATGTAATAGAAATGACGCAACACCTATACCAGAGATATGGAAAATTTTCCTACCAATAAAAACAACTCATACAAGGTGACGTAACTATAGAAATCAAATGTCGAGAGTTGTGTGTGATTACATTAAGATATGACTATGAGCAATGATAATTTATGCTCAAAACATCATCAAGTAAATAGGTAATACTAGATCACTGTGTGTTATATCAATCAAATAAACAAGTCTAATATGGAATTAAACTCTACCACACTGCCCAAAGTTTTAAACCTATACTAATTTAAGCTTTCAATGACACAAATAGAGGCGATCTTTTCGCTCTATCTTCCAGTTGCCTGACAAACGGAACAATGGTTTAAGGAGAGTTAGTGTACCCCCTTCATCTACGGACATTTGAACAGCCAAATTGTATCATCATTGGCATTAACACAAAGAGATATAGCTCATTACCTACCATTAGACAAGGTAGGCTAAGTGTATTTCATTTTTTTTTTTCACCTGAAAAAATAAGATAACTTTTCACTTACCCACCAATCATCATCTGGTTTATCATAGAGTTGGATAATTTCTCCACGACAAAATGTTAATTCATCTGAATTCTCTGCTTCACAATCATATAATGCTTCAAGTAGATCACCAATTTTACAATTAATTACTGATAAATTATTGTATTGTTGATTTGTCAGCTTTGATTCATGTGATGCAGTAATTGAGGCTGGGATACAAGCAATATTATTGACTGATGATGATGATGATGGTGATGAATTCGATAGAACATTACTTCCAAATTTATCTAAAATTTTGAGAAGAAAAAAAAAAGGATAACAGTAATGCTTATCAGATGGAGATGGATTGGGTATACACTGAGAAAGCCGACTGGGGACATCACACGTCAGGCTAGGCACTCGAGTGGAATTCCCATGGGAAGCGACGAGTTGGACATCCGAGAGTGACATGGAGGAGATCGTGAGAGGAGGAAATAAGAGCTTGTGGGCTGTCGTGGAACCAGGTTCAAAAGATTTCGGCGAACAGAGTTCACTGGAGACGTGCTACTGAAGCCCTATGTCCTATTAGGAACCCAAGGGGGTAATAATAATATTTAAAAAAATAACGCTTATGAGAGGCTGAACAAGAGTTATATACATAAAGATTTTCATCCAGTCACTTAGTTCGACCTTTTCTCTATGTAAAGATATCGGCCTGTTTAGCACTTCAAAACTTGCTTCATCTGTCATGCCGACTGGCTAGACATCCCACTACTTATTTAAAAGACGAGTATACAGCGCTATAGGTCATTCTGCTCTATAATATGGCTGACATATAGCCGTTAAAAGTAGAAAACAGATTATTGATCATAGGATTGTAGAAGTTCAGTGGAATCACCCTTTGGACAATGTCAAGGTCAAGCAAACGATATTCATCAAAGAAGGCAAGAGAGTAGATAAGGTTGAAAAACTTTCATCGATTGAGGCGGCTTCGACAGGTGTTGCACATACGAAGACATTGCCTACATCGACATGCAATAACTATGCTAGGTGAAGAGGGTTTACGATGAGCAGAGCAAAACCTGGCACAAGTCAATGAAATCTCTAATTGTGTGTCTTATTCATACCGAGGAAGTGTAGAACATCTGGTTGGGATCATAGAGATGATAGGAATAAATGACTGAGAAGTCTTGGTGACATGTCTGGAAATCAATAACAATGGCACAAGTGTATTCAATCCTTGACATCTTCTAAAGCTTAAATATTTCCACTAACTTTTATGCTTAAACTGTTTACTCTCTCATACAACTTCGTCTACTTGGCAATTAGTCTTTTGTTTTTCGTATACTACTGTGAAGTGTGACAAGTTAAATCGGTCCACTTGTGTGAGACGTTCTACGTTGATTTTAGTCAGTCAGTTAGTTAACCATGAAATCCCATTAAAATTAATTAACTTGCTATATTCTACCACAAAATATGTGATTAGGCTATAACGGCGGTTCCTGAGGAATTATCAGCTGTGCGACCTGAGTTTTAAAAAAAAAAATCAAATCAAATCCAGTCCTACAACAGGTTAATCACGACCTGAATAATTCAGTAACAGTTTCATTGACTACAACACTGAGTGATACGAGTTCAAACCTCAGATGGGATATTAATTCCATCGAGGTTGTGTACAGACACGCCTTTACTGAAGACCGTAAAAACAAGCATGAAATCATCTCAAGTTGTTATTCATCGTAGACTGACATCAGTTGAAGAGGAACAAAGGAAACCTGAGAACACTGAACACCTGTTTCATCCCACTAGTATGGGACTCCTAAGCAGGGCGCACACACAACCCTACCCCGCCACGGATCGAACCCGAGATCTTCAGGTTCCCTGGCCAGCACCTTATCATTGAGCTAACCACTGGGTCAGTGGAATCCAATCCTCCATATTTCCAACTTATGTTAGCTCACGATATAGTGCAACCGCCACCCGATGTCATAGTTCAGTAACTGTCCTCACAACCATCAGGCTTTGTCCCACACCGGTCACGACTTCTCATTGGAACTTCGGGAATACTTCTCGAAGCTAGTCACCAATGAGCACCAGTTCAATTGAATTTTGAGGGAGTTGTGGAGTTAGAGTTGTTCCTTAAACTGATGTCAGTCTACGATGAATAACAACTTGAAATATTTTCGAATCCCTACAACTCCCTCAAAATTCAAGAAACCATCGTCTAGAAGTTTACTGTCAATTGCCTTCAACCAATTAGCATCCATCAACGTTCATTGTCATGGTTAGCGTCTATCACAGTGACAGGTAGCGGCAAAACGGCAGCCAATAGAGAAATTGTTTTCAGATCATGATATATACATGTACTGACATGAGATAACCTGATTGGACAAATTTGAAGTCATACGACAAATCGGATTGGTTTATTTATGGCTTCATTTTCTAAGGGTTTTGTAATATATATACATACCAGGTATTCGTCCAACAAAGTTTTTTTTGAGAGGAATGGGGATTTTCAATTAGGAGGTAGTATTCAACACGGAATGATATCAGTTGGGGAACCATTGAGAATCTGGGAGAACTGGACAGCTATTTCGTCCTAGTACGCAACTCCTCAGCGGTACGCGCCCACGACCCGCCTACGAATCGAACTCAGAAGCTTCAGGTTTCACGGCAAACAACCTAACCATTCAGATACTGGGTTGGTTTTTAGTGGTTCACAGTTTCCAGCCTCTAAATTAAAAATCCCCATTCACCTCGAAAATACATTACTATCTAGTGCACACTAGTGACTTGCTTTCAGACGGATATCACGAAGTTCTAATGAGAAGCCATGACCATTGGTGGGGTCAACCAGTCGGAAGTGAAGCAGATGTCAACTGACGACCATGAGTGAAAGTCAGACCATCTCGTGAATTGACAGAAGTTGGAAACTGTGAACCATTGAAAATCGACCCAGTAATTGACTGGCTAAAGCATTCGCCATGAAACCTGAAGGTCCTGACTCCGATTCCTAGCCGGGTTGTGGGTACGTACTGCCAAGCGGTTCCATACTAGGACAACAGCTGTTCAGTGCTCCGAGGTGGTTTACAATGGTTTTCCAACTGATTTAAGTCCGTGATGAATACTACTTGTAAATAATAAGGTTGTTATTGTTTCTTGTAGTCACACGTCGCGTCTTTTGTTTTCTGATTTTCGCGGCTCATTTAAGTAAAGGGTGTGGGGGAGAACAATCGTATTACTTGTATCCAGTTCAAGTATCTCGTTGCGTTATTACTCCTTTAGTTTATTGTTAGAACCCCCAAAATTTGCAGTCATATTACACAGTCATCGGGATAGAAGGTAAATAGTATGAATCCAAAATAATAAACATGAGAATTGAAAACAAGTAAACAGAAAGGTGGATAGGAGAATCGCAGAGAAAGTGGAAAATCTCATCCTATACAAAAGTATAAACAATCAGGATAAAACTATTTGAATAAAAACAAATTAACTTACCATTAATATGCTGAGATAAAGAATATTTCAAGGAATCGATAAAATGATGAGTTGAATTCGTCACTGATGTTGAAGTGTTCAAATCGGTTGCTTTGCTAACAGAGTCAAATAAGGCAGGTAAATTTGATGTTCTATTCTGTAGAAAAATCACATGGGAGGAAATATTTCAGAGGCTAATTTATTTAACAATTCAAGATATACAAGATTGTTAATCATCGTAGACTGACATCAATTGAAGAGGAACAAAGGAAACCTGAGAACACTGGACACCTGTTTCATCCCACTAGTATGGGACTCCTAAGCAGGGCGCACACACAACCCTACCCCGCCACGGATCGAACCCGAGAACTTCAGGTTCCCTGGCCAGCACCTTATCATTGAGCTAACCACTGGGTCAGTGGAATCCAATCCTCCATATTTCCAACTTATGTTAGCTCACGATATAGTGCAACCGCCACCCGATGTCATAGTTCAGTAACTGTCCTCACAACCATCAGGCTTTGTCCCACACCGGTCACGACTTCTCATTGGAACTTCGGGAATACTTCTCGAAGCTAGTCACCAATGAGCACCAGTTCAATTGAATTTTGAAGGAGTTGTAGGGATTCGAAAATATTTCAAGTTGTTATTTATTGTACACTCACATCAGTTTCCTTTGTTCCTCAAAATCCAATATACAAGATTATTAATTATCAGTAGTAAAGGGGGATTATAAACACTCACCACCGGCGTATGTGAACTTCGATTAGGTAAAGTTGAATATAGTGTATTAGATAAATAACTCGGTTTTGGTGGGATTGGAGGAGATATGCCAACATCGCCAAGGGATACTGAAGCAGCAGCAGCAGCAGTAGAAGAGTAAAATGCACTATTCACTGATCTAAGTGAATTAACAGTAGACGAAGTAGTAGATGATGTTATAGAAGTAGCAATAGTAGCAGAAGGTGTAGATACTGCTGGCTTTTCCTCCAAGACATCTAATATTATATCAATATGATCACTGGGCAATGTTTCATCACGAGCATCAGTAGGAGCTAGATAAAATATAGGAGGGGTTGGAGGAAAAGTAGAAAAAAAAAGAGGAATTGTGAAACACCATATAAACGGATAAAAAGAAGTGTTGTACACAATTCTATAGAAAAAAAAAAGCAAGTTCAGACCACATAAACAGTTCACCTAACGATTAGTAAGATTTTGAGATCAGATCAAGATACGGGAAGGAATTTACAGTTGTTCTCTGTTAGTAATCCTTAGGAGAGTAGTATCATTATTATTGGTTTCAAAAAGAGATTTCACAACGTGATCAATTTCGAAAAGAGAACATACCAACCCTGTGAGCTTAATCAATCTACTTTTCCAAGTTATCATTACATTATTATTTATCCCTTAGCTTCCTAGTGGAACATAAGGCTTCAATAGCATATCAACATTTCACTCTCTTCTCTGCAGTATTTTCAACCTGGATCCACGACTCCTCATCAGATTGCATTTCTTCTTCACACCATCTCCTCCATGTCACCCTCACCTCGGACACTCAACTCCTCCATTCCCATTTGGCTTCCACTCGACGATCTGGCCTGACGCGTAATATCTCCACTCCAAGTGGTCTTCCAAGTGTATGTCCAATCCAATCCAATTCATGTCTACTCTCTTCTTATGCACATTTATTGAGCGATAGCTTCTTGCTTCGTTGGTGTGTTGCCAGCCAACTAGCCAGAGTTCCTCCCTGCTTATTCTTACTATTCTGGCCATCGAGTGGGTGTAGGCGTCACCTGTCGATGATGTGTGTGTGCAGTTTGTTGGAAATGCTTTTCGTAACGAGCCAAATCTATCAACCATCACATAGAAGCACTGAGTTACTTGACTGAATTAGTGTTGAAAATCCGAATCTTGTTCCAAACGCTGAATGCAGTGCAGTGCAGTAGATATCCACACTGAATATTTCAGAATGATGTAGGAACACCTGTCTTGCTGTCTCGCCTATCGTGGCTGGCTTTGACATCCTCATCTGTGCATGTGCCACCACTTGTAGTTGATAGTATGCTGCCTAGGTAGGTAGGTGGGTAGGTAGGTAGGTGAAAGAGACAACTTCCTTCAGATTTCTCCTGTTCATGGTGATTGGTGCTTGTTGGTGGTGGTGGTGGTTGGGTATTTTCATCACCTGTATCTACTTTACGTTCACTTGAAGTAAGTGCCATCTTCCTTGGCTGCCTTCCCTCTTCTGTTAGTTTTCGCCTGTAGATCTTTGAGTTTGTGTGACATTAGACAGACATAAATCATTGTGGGCGAAATCCAAATGTATTAGGGTCTTTCCATCGGCTAAATAGCGTATGTTCATTTTCTCACTCCTCACAGTTGTTTGTCGCATGATCCAGTCGATTCCAATCCAGTCAACCACAATCAGGAAGATCATCGGTGATAGTAGGTGGCAACCTTGTCCTAATTGTCTTACCCTTCACTTCATTTCAAAGGCATCACTGAACCTTCCATTGTGAATTATTTGGCATGTAGCGTATATAGCTGCTGTTGAATGAGGTTGATAAAAGTTTGTGGTACTGAGACCGTAGTGTTGAAGCATCTGCAAAATCACTTCTCCGTCGACGCTATCGAAAGTGTTTTCAGAGTGGATGAAGTTGAGGTAGATACTTGACTGTCATTCTATACTGTGTGCGGACATTTCATGTCCCTGTGCTTACTTTTGCTTTCATGAAGTTAATTAGTTTACAAATACTAAAGTGATTAAGTACTGTTGTAAGAATATATTTCGACTGACATTGGTTAGAAGAAGGTTCAGAGTGTCTACACCCTCTGCCAAACTAATACAACTTTCCCCCCAGTATACCAGCACATCGAAGAAGGCAGTGGATTCATATGCATAGTACACGTGTTCAAATCATTTCACTCCATTGAGATTTACAACCTCATCATCGGCTGACTTACTTGTCTTGCCTACTACCCTTCGCCTCACTTCAACATTTCTCACACGATGATTTCACTAAATGTAAGCAATCCTATGAAGACATCTGTGATCAAAACCCCATGACCACTTCATATCTTCACACTGTCAACCGGGTCAGTGCATGCACAGTAGTAGCCAACTTTTTCTCCAACTTACCCATCTTGGCACCGTCTGCCACTCTGTTTCGCTAAATCTTTGTGTTCTGCTATTCTACCTAACTCTGATTGCCTGCCTTCACTCATACACTTGACTTCACAATCATCACCTGGTATTTCATAGATTACATTCTTTTTCTCAATTTCACTCTAATGGATCGTTTAGCCTACAAAGTTTCTATCTGGGTGACTTTGGGGATTTGAATACCACCCTAAGCCAACCCAGCATTGTTAAGAATTCCACCTGAAATTTTGCGACTTGTCTTCTTTATACGGTAACACTAAAGAGGATTTGAATGACCCTTTTAGGCATGTGTTGTAATCACCACTATTTCTCTTATCAGTTGCTTATTAACTCCATTTTAGGATATTGTTTATATCAGTGTTTTATCTGCTTAGTAGAGTTTAAGTCTACAGTCTATTGGACAAAATTTCACGTTGTTACTGAATGAGAAATTGTAAATAAAAAAAGAGACAATCCAACGGAGAAGAATTTCTTTTTCGACAAAATTATTTTCTACAGCTGTTAAATAAGCATATAAATCGCGGATAAGGGCAAACTTTCCAAAATTGACTAAATGACTGACTGACAAAATCAACGTAGGAACCTCACACACAGGTGCTTTGGATCAAGTTGTCATACTTCACAGAAGTATACAAAGAACAGGTGGATAGAAAAAGAGACTGATATCAATGTAGAGGAAGTTGTGTGAGAGAATAAACAATTAGAAGATAACAGATAGTGCCTTAGAAGACGTCTGCGCCATTGTCACCTACAGTTCTCAACCACTGATTTCTATCATCCTCGAGACCGTAGCCAATTAGTCTACATCTCCCCCCACCACACATACACACACACACGACTCAGATTAATATTCAGGGACTTTATGGACTGCTGCCAAGTCTTGTTCTAGCTCCCCTGAACCCTCTTCCAACGTAATCCAACTTCTCCTAGCATAACAACAAGTGGAGGTAAGTGGTGGCTTAGCATGTACAGTACATATCCATCTGAGCACTATCCTGCATAGTTGTCAAGGTGAGAATTTAAACCAATTAACAGTTCAATTCTTGAACATTTAGTCAATTCTGGACATATTAACTTCACCACAGTCATTTACAGAGTCAGTTGAGCACCACGGTAGAAGAAGTATACTCAATCTCTTCTCTTACCATGATCCCCGACCGATAGCTGCTACCTTGACGTGGTGGTCGGGCTTGCATATCACAATGACCCAACGAGCTATGCTGGTGGAACGCTTGTTCCCTCGAGGTCCTACCATACCAGAAAGGTCTGTTGGGTAGTGGTTAGACGAAAAGCAGTTACCGTTATAGTGTAAATTGCTACACTATGATGGGGGTCTGAGGGCGAAGTCGTACTGCTGCTAGCTGGATGGGGTGTGACAGCAGTAAGGTGTTTCCCTTGGATGACCAGCAGTGCCAAGCTGATGCTGCCTTCTCAGTGGAAGGGGGGGTTAGAAAAGGTCGGCCCCAAAAATAACACACTCCACCACGCCCCACGGTCTGCCGGGCCGGCGGTGTTGGTTCACTTGTCGTTTCCTTTCGCTCATCCGGCCCCAAAAATACAAAAATTCAAAATAATCATACTCAAAAGGCTGGGTGTGACAGGCCTCAAGCAGATGTCCGATGGGCTCTGCGGTCACACAAATCTCTTTCAGGTACCTTAAGAAGAAATAGCCTTCCACGGTGTGGGCAGCCGGGAAGTGTCAACCGCCCTCACAACTCTGTCAGCACCCAAGTTTCTTCTGACTGCTATCCTCCTCCTCCATCATTACCTTCTAATCTTCCTTCACGTCTCTTAATTAATGATGCTGCATCATCTTCAATTTCTCCTACCTCTGCAGCCTTCGACAACGATCTGAGTCCACAGAACAGCATCCCTGGTCTCCTTAAACCACGCTCCAAATTACATATTGGAGCCTTCAATGTCCGCACCCTCCGTCAAATTGGCCAACAGGCTTCGTTGGCAAAGACTCTAGCAACTCGGGCATGGATGTGTGCTGTGTTTGTGAGACACGCATACAGGACCCAAGTGTGGTTATTCACCTGACCTCTCCTGACCAATCTGGTGAATCTGCAAAATTCACCCTTCGAGTTTCTGGAGATTCGATAGCTAGCTCTCGTGGTCTTGCAGGTGTAGGTATAGCATTAAGCACCAGGGCAGAAAACTCACTACTAGACTGGATCCCAGTTGATAGTCGCCTCTGCGCTATGAGGCTGAACGGCACAGTGAGAACTAAAAGGAATAGTGAGACTCGCCGTTGTCTCTTTGTAATCTCTGCTTACGCACCCACTGACTGTAGTTCGGATGAAGTGAAGGACGAGTTCTACCATAAACTGTCTAACCTCCTCTCGAAAGCCAAACGTTCGGACGTAGTGGTTGTTGCAGGTGACCTCAACGCACAGGTGGGTAGACTGAGTGAGGCAGAAAGGCACTTAGGTGGCACTTTCGGAATCCCAGCTGAACGTACAGATAACGGTGATCGCCTATTACAACTATGCTCAGATAACCGCCTATTTTTAGCCAGCACAAATTTCAGACATAAAGAAAGGCACTGTCTGACCTGGCGTCCACCGAGCTCGACTCAGCGATGGACACAGATAGACCACATTGCTATTAGTCATCGCTGGAGAGGATCGGTGGAAGACTGCCGCTCCTTCTGGAGTACGTGTTTGGACAGCGATCATGCGTTGGTCCGAGCACGTATATGCCTGCGTCTCAATGGACGTAGAAAAAATTTGGCAACAAAACCACTACGAGTTCTGCTGGACAACGAAAACACCAAAGCCGTGTTCAGTGAGAAGTTGGCTAGGCAGTTATCGGAACAAAAGACTGTCACTCATCCAGAAGAAGCTTGGTGCCATCTTCAGTCTACTGTAAAAGCAGCACTGGAGACTGTAGCCGACTCCAAGATAATGGCTAAAAAGAGCCAGTGGATATCAGCAGCTTCTTCCAAACTAATGGATGCACGTGAATGCATCCCTGCAGGCTCTGAGTACAATGAAGAGCGAGCGCAACTTAAAAATAAACTGACGAAAAGTCTGCGCAACGATCGTGAACAGTGGTGGGCAGCAAAGGCTAAAGAGATGGAAAAGGCAGCGGCGATCGGTAACAGTAGACAGTTATTTAGACTTATTAAGGAGACTGGGGGGAAATGGTCAACAACAGTTAGTGAGGTTATAGCGGAGAAGGACGGATCGGCGATTCACTCGCAGGGAAGGCGACTGGGACGATGGGCAGAACACTTTGAGGAACAGTTTAACTGGCCTCCAGCCACCATTGCGCTGCCCGCTATCCAGTCGGACCCTGAATGGGACATAGAGACAGGTCCCCCAACACTAGAAGAAGTTGAGAAAGCGGTAGGTAGCCTGAAACGGGGAAGGGCAGCAGGACCAGACGGACTACCTGCTGAGGTATACAAGAATGGTGGTAGAGTTCTCTTAGTCAGGCTAACGGAAGTGTTAGCCAGTATATGGGAATCAAATACGATCCCCTCCGACTGGTCTAAGTCACTCATCATCCCAGTCTTCAAGAAAGGCGAGAAGTCCTCTTGTGATAACCACAGAGGAATCAGCCTGACAAACATAGTGTCTAAGATCCTAAGTTCTATAATTCTCCGACGCCTGAGTGGAGCTCGGGAACAGCAAGCCCGAGAAAACCAGGCAGGCTTTAGACCTGGCCGTGGATGTATCGACCAAATATTCACACTGCGCCAGGTCCTGGAACATAGGCATGCTTACAGACGCCCGACAATAGCTGTATTTCTCGACCTGAAGGCGGCATTTGACTCCGTTGATCGAGAAGTCTTATGGCAGTGTCTGTCACTGAAAGGCGTGCCTAGTAAGTACATCACCTTATTGAAAGCTCTCTACTCGAACACTTGTGGGCATGTTAGAGCCTATGGTGAGTTGTCCAGGGAGCTATACTCATCAAGTGGTGTCCGTCAAGGATGCCCACTATCCCCATTCTTATTTAATTTTATCATAGATATTCTTATGGAGGTTTCCCTCTCGTCACCTAATTACAAAGACGTTGACCCGATCACAGGTGAATTTTCCTTAGATCTAGAATATGCAGATGACATAGTCCTGTTAGGTGAAGACGCTGACAAGATGCAGAGTCTTCTGAACACTTTGAGTGGGAATTTGAGAATGTTTGGGATGCGATTTTCACCACCCAAATGCAAATTTTTGCTCCAGGACTGGTCTTCAGCGGTACCGCGGTTAACAATAGAGAGTGAAGTGGTTGAGTGTGTTGACCACTTCACTTACCTGGGAAGTAGGATCAACTCCGGTGGGTTAGTTGCCGATGAGATTTCTGCACGGATACAAAAGGCTCGATTGGCTTTTGCCAATTTGCGCCACCTATGGCGCCGCCGTGATATTCGTTTGTCTATTAAGGGTCGCGTGTACTGCACAGCAGTCCGCTCTGTTCTACTGTATGGCTGTGAAACATGGCCATTGAAAGTGGAAGACATGAGAAGGTTACAGGTATTTGACCACCGTTGCCTTCGTAGTATAGGACGTATTCCGTGGTGTCACCATGTGAGTAATGCAGAAGTTAGGTGTAGAGTTTTAGGGAGAAGAGGTAAGTCAGTCGACGAGGTTGTGAACCTTCATCGACTGAGATGGTTGGGACACGTACTACGTATGCCTAGTCACCGATTGCCTCGTCACACAATGTTGGCTGAGGTGGGTTCAGGCTGGAAAAAGGCCCGAGGTGGCCAGACTAAAACATGGCACCAATGTATGAAGTCTCTGACTGTTGGTTTAAGCCATGTAGGACGATGCAGACTAGGTGGTTGGGGTCCACGGGACAAGAGGAACCAGTGGTTGGAGACCCTAGGTGATATGGCTCAGAACCGAAGTCAGTGGCGCAGATGTATACACACATTATCCTCATCTTAACAACGCTATACCGAATCTCACTATTTTGTCACTCCTCTTTCCTTTCTTCTCATACTTTATATTTCTTTTGACTGCATTCACTTATCTTCATCCTTCACCTCACTACCTTTTTACTTGATGTGCTGATATGAGGTGTGGCAACTCGGACCGTTACGCAGTAATGCCTGGTCCTATGTTGATAATGATGACTTACCATGATCGTAATACTTTGACAATTTTTTGCGATTTAATTATTAGGCAGTTTGGCATTATCACTTTCATCAAACTTAGGGTCTTCAAGTTCCATTGCCAGCACTGTTACCATTCAGACACTGGGTTGGAATCGGATGAAGACTGACGAATAAGATTCCTTCTGAACGCATACATCTGGTTACAGGAGTTTGATTAGAATGACTTCAGCGAAGTGGAAAAGATCTGAATCCTTTTGTTTGTTGATTACTTTAAGCATTTGCAAGGCAACTAACTTGATATCCTGTGTCCAACAAGTGCTTAGTAATTGCACTATTGAAGAGACAATTGTTCCTCATCCTCTTCGGGTGATATGTTCAAGATATCGAAGGTAAGTCGTTCTTCCTGTAACTGGAGAGAGGAGGAGGGGGGGGGGCGGGGCGGGGGACAGAAACTTCTGAAACCCGATGTATATATTCAAAAGGGATCTATTGTTAGTCTTTAACTACCAGATGAGCCTAATCTCTTAATCTTCCTCTTATTCGATTACATTACCATCCTATCATTGACTTATGTAATTTCTTGGTCTAAGTTACACAATAATCAAAACGAGCAATGAGTGGGAAGTCAGAATTTAATAGATATCCCAAGAAAAATAGTATGCCACATCATCCTAGAGAGAACAAACAATGAGCTGGATTCGAAATTACTACCGGAACAGGTTGGCTTCAGGAAGAATAAATCATATGCAGCATCGTTTCAATTACAAGCGGCATAGATGAGGAAGTCAAAGCCAGCCAGAATCGGGAAAGCAAGACAGGCGTTCATTAACCTGAAACCAGTGTGGAGATCTACTGCACTGCACTCAGCATAAAGCGTCAACAACATCCGCATTTTCAACATCAATTCAATCAAGTCCGTCAGTACTGCTATATGGTTTTGAAACTTGGCGTGTCACGAAAAGCACTTCCAACAACCGCCACCTATGCTCACTCCATGCTGAAGATCACATACATTGCCAGAATAACAGGAATAAGCTACAAGGAACTCTGACCTGGTAACGAACCAAACAACAATCTATCACTCAACAAATATGCAGGAGAAGAGAGTGGAGATGGTCTGTATTGGGTATACACTGAGAAGGCCGACTGGGAACATCACGCATCAGGCCAGTCCTTCGAGTGTAACTCAGATGGGAAGCAACGAGTTGGTCTTCCAAGGCAAGGGTGACATAGAGGAGATTACGTGAGGAAGAAATGAAAGTTTGTGGGCAGTCGTGGAGCGAGGTTCAAAAGACTACAGAGAAGAGAGTGCACTGGAGGCGTGCTACTGAAGCCCTATGTTCCACTGGTAACCCAAGGGAATAATAATAATAAATTTCAGGAGCACTCGTCAGCGGCCTATAATCAAGTAGGCAGAGTATCCAGCTGACAGGTACTAGTGACACTTATGTTTTCGAAACAATTAGTCCCCTTTATGAATTTGGATAACATAATTAGACGTAGATTATCTGAAAAATGTGATGTATTTGCGCTATACATTTCGAACAATCTGATCCCCTACACATTTACTTGTTAAGGCAGTATTATATATGAAAACGTATAACAACGTATAAAACAACATAAGCCTGACATGTGAAGAAGAGAAAGAAAACCGTCTGTCATTCTTGGATATACTCCTAAGTCGTAGAAATGATGGTTCAATAAAACGGTCGATCTACAGGAAACCTACTTGGACAGGTCAGTATTTAAGTTCCCATAGCTTTTGTCCAACCCAATACAAGCGAAGTCTGGTAACTTGTCTATTTAAAAGTACCCAGCTTATTTGTACAGAAGACTCAATGGATGATGTTATCAAAATACTAACGAGAACACTAGTGGAAAATGGATATCCATTGAAGTTCATAAACCGCTGCAAAAATCAGCCAGGATTCAAACCCAATCTGATAATTGGAGATAAAATAAAAATTTGAACCATGGTGGGGTTCGAACCAGCGACCACCAGGTTTCCGGCTTGGTGCTCTATCACACCCGGGAACGCGATGGTCACTGGTTCAAATCCCGGTGCGGTCCAAATTTTCATTTCATCGTGAATTCATCACGCAGAAATAAAATATCATTATGATTATTATCATAAGAACTTACAGAACGGAACCCGACTAATATCTAATCGATTGAATGTACTCCAAAGCTATATTGCAAGGGGGTAAGGGGAAAACAAAATAAATAAATTGTTACAACAAGTTTGTTGAAATGATTAATTAAGCAATGATGGTTGAACAATTCGATTTCAACAAAACAACGGAGAATAACAAGTATGTCAATAAATAGTAATAACTATCACCCGTTGTACAAGAAGTGGCTATCGTTCCTCCGTGGCATAGTGAATAACGCCTTGGCGTTTGAAGCGATGGGTACGAGGTTCGAGTCCCAGTGGGAACAATATCACTGGGGTGCAGGTACATCCAACTGACGAGTTCCAAATAGGACGAAACGCGTATCCTGGATTCGTCTGCTAGCCACAACCAACCAATTTGTCACAATTAACATTCAGGCAATATCGAGGTATCCGCATAGGAGCCCATATGTCAATAGAGGTAGAACAATTCGATCCAACAAAACAACGGAGAATAACGAGGATGTCAATAAATAATAACGATGGAAACCTTGATTGGACAATTTCACAGCATTTTACATAGATATATAGTAAATATGAGGTAATATTAAATAGCTGGTACCGCATTTTTTAAAATGCAATAACATTCCTTTAATGTCATTTATCGTGTCAGATGGAATAGTTGAAAAGGAGTACGCCATCAACAGTTGTGCCCATTGGAGGCACTGGGAATTCATCAGTTCAAGCCTGATATCCGAGTGCAAAAGAAGTATCTTCAATCTCTATCTATCTATCTATCTATCTATCTATCTATCTATCTATCTATCTATCTATCTATCTATCTATCTATCTATCTATCTATCTATCTATCTATCTATCTATCTATCTATCTATCTATCTATCTATCTATCTATCTATCTATCTATCTATCTATCTATCTATCTATCTATCTATCTATCTATCTATCTATCTATCTATCTATCTATCTATCTATCTATCTATCTATCTATCTATCTATCTATCTATCTATCTATCTATCTATCTATCTATCTATCTATCTATCTATCTATCTATCTATCTATCTATCTATCTATCTATCTATCTATCTATCTATCTATCTATCTATCTATCTATCTATCTATCTATCTATCTATCTATCTATCTATCTATCTATCTATCTATCTATCTATCTATCTATCTATCTATCTATCTATCTATCTATCTATCTATCTATCTATCTATCTATCTATCTATCTATCTATCTATCTATCTATCTATCTATCTATCTATCTATCTATCTATCTATCTATCTATCTATCTATCTATCTATCTATCTATCTATCTATCTATCTATCTATCTATCTATCTATCTATCTATCTATCTATCTATCTATCTATCTATCTATCTATCTATCTATCTATCTATCTATCTATCTATCTATCTATCTATCTATCTATCTATCTATCTATCTATCTATCTATCTATCTATCTATCTATCTATCTATCTATCTATCTATCTATCTATCTATCTATCTATCTATCTATCTATCTATCTATCTATCTATCTATCTATCTATCTATCTATCTATCTATCTATCTATCTATCTATCTATCTATCTATCTATCTATCTATCTATCTATCTATCTATCTATCTATCTATCTATCTATCTATCTATCTATCTATCTATCTATCTATCTATCTATCTATCTATCTATCTATCTATCTATCTATCTATCTATCTATCTATCTATCTATCTATCTATCTATCTATCTATCTATCTATCTATCTATCTATCTATCTATCTATCTATCTATCTATCTATCTATCTATCTATCTATCTATCTATCTATCTATCTATCTATCTATCTATCTATCTATCTATCTATCTATCTATCTATCTATCTATCTATCTATCTATCTATCTATCTATCTATCTATCTATCTATCTATCTATCTATCTATCTATCTATCTATCTATCTATCTATCTATCTATCTATCTATCTATCTATCTATCTATCTATCTATCTATCTATCTATCTATCTATCTATCTATCTATCTATCTATCTATCTATCTATCTATCTATCTATCTATCTATCTATCTATCTATCTATCTATCTATCTATCTATCTATCTATCTATCTATCTATCTATCTATCTATCTATCTATCTATCTATCTATCTATCTATCTATCTATCTATCTATCTATCTATCTATCTATCTATCTATCTATCTATCTATCTATCTATCTATCTATCTATCAAGAGGACACTCAATATTTGAGTTTCTTATCTACCGACAATTTTCACCTTGTCAAACTCTTTGTCTTCCTGGATATTTCTACTGTGTTAGATTATTACGCAACTACTTTGCATTCTTGATTCCACTTTCCTTTAGCGCTAGATTAATGATGTAATTATACCCTATTGTTTTATGATATATATAAATACTATTGTCGAAAAAGGAAATTTTCTTCGCTGAATTGTCTCTTCTCTATAAACTCAATAGGAATGTTTCGTAGTCTAACATTTTAAGATTTATGTAGCCTAAAGTATTGGTTGTATTGTGTTCTCTGAGGAGCTGGGTTGTTTAATCGTGCAGAAGCTTTCATCATCTTTCTAGACAGCGACATCATCAACACTAACTTCACTATCAAGTGAGTTTTCAATATCTCTCCATGAATGATTTATTGGCTTGCTCTGACGAAGTGGTCCGTGATTGGTTATTTCCTTCAATTGTTGTGTCATTGACTGACTGCATACATTTTCTTGTTGGCTGTTCTACTGCTTGACCTCTGACCTTCCCGCCATTTATCATTTTACTGATTGGTTGATACATTCAGTCTATGTATATACATCTGTTGATTGTTGACTGACTAGTGTGGATCTCAAGCTTCTAGGAATTCTCTGATGATACTCTTTGTGTTCCCTCTGTCCAAAATTTCTACATTGTCAAAATTCAATTCATATCCACAGTTATCCAAGTTCATTGAACGATGAGCAACGAAATATCTTGACGTTTAATAGTCAATTAGTGTTCATGTAGACGAAGACGAAGGTGGGCGACCCCTTTGTCCAATATACTGTTGGCTACAGTTATTCCAGTTGATTTTGTAAGTGATATTAGGTTTATCTTCTTTGCTTGTTGCATCCTTCGGTCTACATAATAGTCTTTGGTGGGGATTTGTTGGTTTATGAACCACACTAATCCCATCAAGTGGTCTCAGTAATCTTGTCATGATTTCTGATATATTCTTTAAGTACGGTGGGATAATCCGTATGTTGATTTCTGTCGATAACTTTGTAGTTGATGGTGTACGGGATAGGCATCTTCTGATAAAGTTTCGTGGGTAGCTGTTCTTCTTTAGGATAGATATCCAGCAATTTTCTTCGTTTCTGCATGAATTAGTTGTCCGCAGTGTATTCTCACTCTTTTGAATAGAGTCTGCACGCAACTAATTTTGTGCGTTGTTAGGTTGTTGCTCATGCAGTTGAGGAAGTCGAAGCCTAAAGTAGTTTGGTACACAGTTTAATGATGAATAGTACTTGGAAACCAATAAACACACACAATTTTCTAAGAATTATTAATTGGAGGACTCGAAAGTTCATCAGTACAAGATAGGTTAAAGCCTTCAAGGCTATGCAGCCAAGAAATATCCTAAAGACTGAGGTTAGAGGTGCATTTATAGTCCAGTGTACAAGCTCGTAGATGGCTAATAAGTTGCATTCTCCAGACTGACGTGGAGACCTACAGTTTCTTCTATGTCTGATTTCACAGGGATTGACCTACTCCCTGTAAGTCATCTGGTTGATATGGAGTATCCAGACGATAGTCCTGCTGTCTGAAGATGCTGACAAAATATAGGATCTTCTGAACGCGTTGAACAGAAATCTGAATATGTTTGACATGTACTTCGCACCTGTCAAATCCAATATGATGCTTCAGGACTGGACTGCTGTTAGTACTCCCTGCTTCATGATAGGCATTGAAGAGCTGAAGTGTTTCGATCACTTCACTTACTTGGTAAGTTGCATCAGCCCGCTGAACGGGCTGGTTGCTGATGATGCGTTTGCCAACTTGTGTCATCTGAGGTGCCGGCAAGACACCCGGCTATCTATCAAAGGACGAGTATACAGTCCGTTCTGTCCTGTTATACGGATATGAAACATGGTTGCTAAAATCAGAAGAAATGAAGCGGTTACAGAGTTTTGATCATAAGTGTCTTCATAGCATTGCTCACGTTTAGTGAGATCATGAGCAATGGGCAATGTTGAGGTCAGGTGAAGGATATTAGGTACGAAAAGTAAGTCGATTGATGAGGTAGTGGAACTTGGTCGACTGAGATGGATAAGACGTGTGATGATCATGCCAAGCCACCACCTACCTCGACGTGCCATGCTAGCGAAAGTTGAACCAGGTTGGAAGAGCGTTCAAGATGGCCAAACCAAGACGTGGCAACAGTCCATGAAGTCCTTGACTGTTAGTTTATTCTCTCTCTACATTGACATGACTCCTTTTCTTCTTTGTATACTACTGTGAAGTGAGGCAACTAGAGCAAATGCACCTATGTGCGAAGTCCTACGTTGACTTTGTCAGACAGTTACTTATGGAGTTGAAGATCTTTGGTTTATTCATCTGGTTTTCGACCAACAGGTCAGGCATTTAAACCCTACTTCATCTGCAGATGATTTGGCAATCAGCTTATCATGAACCTACAATGTGTGACACTGTACCAACATCTGATGATAAAGGGCAAACATATGATCAATGGATACACTTGTTCACCGGCGATCAGATTCTCATGCCTTTCATACTATCTAAGAAGTATGAAAGCCGATAGATATATGAAGCATACCCTATTTAAAGATGGGTACAGCAATGGCATCATTCTAGAGTAATGGAGCAAGCTTAGTTTGCCATATCTCCCATGAAAAAATAATCCATTTCACGACTACAGTATCACCTGTCTATCGTTCAAAGTAGTAGCGAGTAGATTGCTTGAAATGGGTACCTTATAACTGTTTGAAAATTATAAATTATATTGAATCTGACATAAATTAACTGAAAAATAATATATTTCTGAGATGAATGGGGGTTTCTTCTTTAATTTAGAAGTAGTATTCATCATGGACTAACATCAGTTGGGGAACCATTGAAAATCTGGACACCTGTTTCCTCCTAGTATGGGACTCCTTAGCAGGTCAACCAGTCGGAAGTGAAGTGGATGTTAACTGAAGACCTTGGGTGATAGTCACGCTATGTCGTGAATAGACAGAAGTTGGAAATTGTGAACCATTGGAAACCGACCCAGTGGCTGAATGCTTAACACGTTCGCCGTGAAACCTGAAGGTCCTGAGTTCCATCCCCAGCCAGGTAGTGGGAGCGTAATGCTGAGGAGTGCCGTACTAGGACGAAACAGCTGTCCAGTGCTCCCAGATTTTCTAACCGTTTCCCAAATGATGTCAGTCCATGATGAAAAATAATATTCCATTGCATAGATTTCTTGTCATTCTCTTCAAGCTGTACAGTTTTATACTCATCAGTGTTAGATAACTAAAAAGCAATAAGGATGATCTAACCAAAAGTTAGGTATAAACGGATCCTGGTTCAACCAGAGCTATGGCTCATCAGTATAACGAGACTTTCAACTAATAAATCAAGATTTCGAACCCCTACACCCAACATACAAGGGACTGGACAGTTGAGTTGTATCACTAGCCTTCACAGACAATAGATGTGGATGCATATTGATGACTGCCTGCCTGTATGAATAAATAGTAGGTAGACAAGTGAGACTAAAAAATGGTTTCGATTCAAATATATGACCGAACAGGCTGGCCAGTTTCTGGAAAAACAAATCGCATAAGGTTGAAATTGCAACGCTACTCTACGCATTATCATAGAAAAGAGAATAGGATGGCAGTCAACTCTCTACCTCAATTTCATCCACTCTGAAAACACTTTCGATAGCGTCGACGGAGAAGTGATTTAGCAGATGCTTCAACACTACAGTCTCACTACCACAAACTTTTATCAACCTTATTCAACAGCAGCTATATACGCTACATGCCAAATAATTCACAATGGAAGGTTCAGTGATGCCTTTGAAATGAAGTAAGGGGTAAGACAATTAGGACAAGGTTGCCACCTACTATCACCCATGATCTTCCTGATCGGACTCGACTGGATCATGCAACAAACAACTGTGAGGAGTGAGAAAATGAACATACGCTATTTAGCCGATGGAAAGACCCTAATACATTTGGATTTCGTCCACAATGATTTATGTCTGTCTAATGTCACACAAACTCGAAGATCTACAGGCGAAAACTAACAGAAGAGGGAAGGCAGCCAAGGAAGATGGCACTTACTTCAAGTGAACGTAAAGTAGATACAGGTGATGAAAGTACCCAACCACCACCAACAACAACAAGCACCAATCACCATGAACAGAAGAAATCTGAAGGAAGTTATCTCTTTCACCTACCTACCTAGGCAGCATACTCTCAACTACAAGTGGTGGCACATGCACAGATGAGGATGTCAAAGCCAGTCAGTATCTGAAAGACAGCAAGACAGGTGTTCCTACATCATTCTGAAATATTCAGTGTGGATATCTACTGCACTGCACTGCACTCAGCGTGTGGAACAAGATTCGGATTTTCAACACTAATTCAGTCAAGTAACTCAGTGCTTCTATGTGATGGTTGATAGATTTGGCTCGTTACGAAAAGCATTTCCAACAAACTGCACACATACATCATCGACAGATGACACCTACACCCACTCGATACTGAAGATGGAGATCAGATGGCCAGAATAGTAAGAATAAGCAGGGAGGAACTCTGGCTAGTTGGCTGGCAACACACCAACGAAGCAAGAAGCTATCGCTCGATAAATGTGCATAAGAAGAGAGTAGATATGAATTGGATTGGATTGGACATAGACTTTGAAGACCACCTGGAGACATTATGCGTCAGGTCAGAGCGTCGAGTGGAAGCCAAATGGGAATGGAGGAGTTGAGTGTCCGAGGTAAGGGTGACATGGAGGAGATGGTTTGAAGAAGAAATGCAATCTGATGAGGAGTCGTGGATCCAGGTTGGAAAGACTGCAGAGAAGAGAGTGAAATGTTGATGTGCTATTGAAGCCCTATGTTCAACTAGGAAGCTAAGGGACAAATAAATAAGAATGATAATATACAGCTGAGTGGATTTTTGTTCAGCATTCAAAGAAACTGTGAAAAATTAATCATTATTACTTACATTACTTTTATTCGATGTACCGTCATGCAATGATGAATCATTTGATTGGCTATCTATAGATGGTGGACGTGGAGCAGGACCCTTTTTTCGAGGTAGTGTAGCTAATGCATTACCATAATCTATTGAAGCAGAGTGTTGACTAAAAGCTGGATCAAGAAAAAAAAAACAATCGATGGAGTATTAATTTCTGTTAAATTATACAAAATAAGATTAGCAGAAAAGGGTTAACTAAAATTCAGTCAGAATATGACCGACTGATTCATACGTAGTTGCCTTGCCTTATAGCACAAATCATCTATGAGATCTTAATCAAAAAGGAATCGCCAACTAATCATATCTCGAGAAAGGTTGATATCAGTTGTGCAGCAGGTGGAAGGCATAGTTGCTCTTAGTGGGATAACAACTCAGGTCAAGAACTCAATACCATCATCTCAGATCAAGAAGAAAGGGTAGATACTCAGAACTTTGCAGGTTTTCAACTGGCTTATCTTAATGTAAATGCGCCCAATTAGAAGCCAGCTGAATGACATTAAGTTGAACTGAGAAGACCTAGAGAACAAAAATAGCCTATTGGAGATATGTTTTAGGCTCTACGAATGCTGAATGAGCAAGTAAACATAGTCTATAAGTAAAGAATTAGTGTTATGTATCAGCAGTTCTTACTCAAGTGATTTACACGTCCCATCTACAGTCGACAAGCACTTAACACGATGTCCATACAAACTTTATTGATGATAATAATAGCGGTTGCGCTATATCATGAGCTAACAGAAGTTGGAAATATGGACGGTTGCATTCCGCTGACCCAGTGGCTAGCTCAATGGTAACGTGTTGGCAACGGAACCTGAAGGTCGCGGGTTCGCTCCCTGAAGGGGTCTTGGATGCGTACTGCTGAGAAGTCCCAAACAGCTGTTCAGTGCTCCTAGGTTTCCTTTGTTCCTTCAACTGATGTCAGTCTACGATGAATAACTTGAAATAAAATATACACCTAAAACTTGGTTTACAGACAACTAATTATACAAAATAGGACTTACATCGACTAGGTTTATTGAACAACGGCACATTTTTTTGTACAGTGGGTCGACTTTCATCAAAGGTAATTTGTTTCCCAGTTTTCAATGCATATGGACTATGTACATTCGAGCTGGATACCTATAAGTTTTTTTTGTACAAAAGGCGAAAGAAAGTTGAATTATAAAGCCAGTACGAATTTTCAAAAAAAGATACATTCTGATACTATTGATAGACGATAGCTAGCAGTGGAATCAAGGAAGTGTGTTTCGTCCTGCTTAGGGCTCATCAGCTGGATGTAACCTGCCTCTTACTGATTGATGTTACTCCAACTAAGACTCGAACTCAGGGTGGATCACTTCAAATATCGGAGAATTATTCATTAAGCCTTGAAGTCTTTGTGCGAGGGGTATAGCTTGTACGAATTCATTGTTGCTTGGAGCAAATTGAATGAAACAAGTGAAAACATCAAAATGAATCGACCGAATAAGTAAGACTAAGGAAACCTCAATCGTATGGCAGTGTTAGCCAAAACATGAACTCATAAAGTAATGACACTAAAGATTGGGTACTAATTATAAAAGTAGCATTTAAACAACCCAGTTCCTTGATACTAGAAGTAAATGGAAAAATATTGAAGTTTGCAAATCATAGTATACATGCGATCATTTCTCTTATGGTTGCGCACTGCTGAGGAGTCCCATACTAGGACGAAACAGCTAGCTGTCTAATTCTCCCAAGTTTCTAATGTTCCTCCAACTGATATCAGTCCATATTCAAACAGTTGAACGTAAGTTCTTGGTTAGGAGGTTGAAACTATACTGTACAAGGTTACTTGTTTACTTCCATGTTTGTAATGATTTGCCAATTAATTAATGTCTGATTGGAAGCGAGCTAAATGGGAATCAATATTTTAAGTCATCAGCCAATAAGGTAGAAGCTTTTATGACACAATTTTTCTTTCCACTATATAGTTAGGAGAAATCTGATTGGACAATTCTGTTTTATAGTTGACCAATCAAAATAAATGATGGATTTTTGTCCAATAAAATATCTTCCTTACAGTCACAGATCAGTTTTCGTTTTTGGATATTTTCCTGGTCCAGTAAAACATGAGGTACTGAGAGAGAACAATCGGTATTCATTAGTATCGTTAGCGTATTTCTCACTATTTACTGGATCACTTCAATGTCAACTATCTTTATTGCCTATAAATAAAGCAAGATGAATTAGTAATTCAGATACAAGAAGAATATACCTCTAGTGTTCAACAAGCTCAGTGAGCATTAGTGAAATATTAAATCATCATTTTGACTATCTGGGATAGCAGCTATGGTTTATCAGACTAGTATTTATACTGGGTGATGATTGAAGGTGAAATGAAAATTTGGACCGCTGCCGGATTCGAACCAGCGACCACTGCGTTACCGGCACGACGCTTTACTAACTGAACTACGAGGTTCAACTGTTCACCAAATCTTTATTTGACTGCAATCACCATCGGGAGTTTCACCCGACGACTAACCATGTGAATTCGTGGCGCATTACTACCACTTGATTGTATTCACACTGCCAGCCCACCAGTCAGGACTTCTCACTTAGATCCAAATGAATAAGAGAAGGGAGAGGGGCATCATATCGATTATCATTTTGATTATTTGAGATAGGAACCGTGGTTTTGGTAGACTAGTATTAATTTTCATTTCACCTTCAAACATCACCCGGTATCAATAGTAGTCTATCAAACCGCGGTTACTAACGCACTCAGATAGTCAAAATGATAGGTAACATAATGCTTCCTCTCTCATTCTAATTCACTTACATTTCGATTGGGATGACAAGTCCTGACTGGTAAGGAGCCAGTGTCAATACGATCAAGCTGTAGTAAAGCGTCACCAATTCACATAGTAGTCAGATAAAACTCTTGGTAATTGAAGTGAAATAAAAATTTAGTAAGTCGTCAGACCTCGTAGGTCAGATGGTAGAGGATGGAGTCGGAAACCCGATGGTTGCTGGTTCAAATCCGTCCGCGATTCAAATTTTCATTTCACCTTCAATCATTAACCAGTATAAATATTAAATTCATGACAAGTTTATATTTTTCAGACGTAAACGTGAGAAGATCATTGATACTCATTAGATAATCGTTGTGTGTGACTGATGAAAATATTCAAAGTAGGTGTTAAGGTGTGAATACATCTTGATCATTCTGACCGGTTTTTAGTTATATCATCAAGAGTCCTTATCCGCTGATTCCCCATGATCATAGAGACTCCCAACCAAGTGATTAATGACTCAGACCAACAGTCAACGACCTACTTGACTGATACCACTTTTTGCTTTATGTTCTGATACGAGGTGTGGCAACTTATAGTGTTATACAGTAATACCAAGTCCATGGATAAGAATTATCATAGCCCTTCTAGAAACTTCGTGTTATCATGTTGTATGTTAAACACACAGAGATCAACTTTAGCATAGTAGATACCCCATAATGCATGATATAACTTAGAATAACAGTTGGAATAAGTGACGAAACTCTTCGTTGATAAAGTTATTTCTCAAGGTCATAAGTTCATTTTTAATTGCTTCGAACACTTTATTTAACACGTAAATAAGTTAGCCTAATTAAACATTATAATAGAAAAACAATCAACTGAATGAATGAAATAATCACTTTGGTGATTGATTTATTAGTATTTAAAGATAATACTGTATTGAACGTGTCAAGTCATTGTCTAAATTAAGGTGTTATAGTAGGAGAAGTCTGATTAGGATTAAAAGAAGCCTTATAGTGCCTAGACATAGCGTCAGTAGATGAAATGCTTCACTGTTGGTCTAGACCATGTAGGGTCCCTGAAGCATGAGAATCAGCAGCTGAAAATCGGTGATAGTGCCATATATATCTTCACTCTTTGAATGCCTTCTAAAGCTTGAATATTTACACTAGCAGTTATTATCAAATTGTTTATTCTCTAGCATAACCTTCCTTACTATCACTCTGATTCTATCCAACTGTTGTTTGCGTACTACTGTGAAGTGTGGCAAGTTGAGCAATTGCATCTATGTAGCCAAATGCAAATTGTTACTCCATGATTGGTGTTCAACGGTGCCACAGCTAACAATAGGAAGTAAGTGTAGTGGTCGTGTGTGTGTGTGTGTCAGCTTACGCTACCTGTGGCGCTGCCATTATATTCGACTGTCTATTAACTGTGGCGTGTACTACACAGTAGTTCGCTCTGTTCTGCTCTATGGCTGTGAAACATGACCATTGAAGGTGGAAGACATGAGAAGGCTTCATATGTTGCCTTCGTTGTATATGCCGTATTCCGTGGCGTCACCACACCACGTGAGTAACGCACAAGTCAGGTCTAGAGTTTTAAAGAGGGAGACGAGGTAATTCCGTGTGTGGGGTTGCGAACATTCATCGACTGAGAGGGTTGGTTAACACGTGTTACGTATGCCTAGTCACCATCTGCCTCATCACACAATGTTGGCGGAAGTAGGTTCAGGCTGGAGAATAGCTTGATATGGCCAGACTAAAATATGACAGCAATGTATGAAGTCTTTGACTGTTGGTTTGAGTCATATGGGGGCAATGCGGATTAACTGGCTGGAGGCTGCAGAACGGGCAAAACCAGTGGTTGGAAACTGACTCTAGGTGATGTATCCTGGCCGAGAACCGATGTCAGTGATGCAGATTTATACCCACATACATATTATCCTCATCTTGACGACGCTATACCGAATCTCACCATTTTGACACTCTTCCTTTCTCTCCTTTCGTACTTTATATTTCTTTTGATTGAACTTTCTTTTCTTCATCTGTCACTTCGCTACCTTGTTACTTGATGTAGTGATATGAGGTGTGGCAAGTAAGACCGTTATGCAGTAATGGGCGGTCCTATGTTGACTTGGATAGATTGAACCTATGTTCGAGGTTCTACGTTGACTTTTTGTCAATCAATAGTATCAGGAGATAGCAAATTCTTATCAAAGCATAAACACTTATCACCCTCCCCCCTTCATCATTTAAGCAGATGCAAAATTTTCAACATTCTGCATCAAAAGGCTGCGTGTTTCAAGGCTCTCTACTATCACTAATGATATTCCTGATTGAAGTGAACTGAATCATGCAACAAGCAGTCAGGAGCGAGAAGAGAGGGATACGCTGAACCGGGCAAAGGATCCTAGAAGATTTGGATTTCGTCAACGATGACTTGTATCTTATGTCACACAAACTTGAAGATCTACAGGCGAAAACTAACAAGTTGACAGAAGCGGCGGGGCAGAGCAGCGAAGGGAAATGGGACTTCAAGTGAACGTAGAGAAGACAGAGGTGATGAAGATACTCAACCACCACCACCACCAACAACAACAACAACAAGATCAAATCACCACCAACAGGAGAAACCTAAAGGAAGTAGCCTCTTTCACTTATCTAAGCAGCACCGTTTCAACTACAGGTAGCGGCGACACAGACTAGGACGTCAAAGCCAGCCAGAATCGGAAAAGCAAGACAGGAGTTCTCGCATTAACCTGAATACCAGTGTGGAGATCTTCTGCACTGCACTCAGCATGTGGAACAACATCTGGATTTTCAACACCAATTCAGTCAAGTCAGTGCTTCTATGTGGTGGTTCAGAAACTTGGGACGTTACGAAAGACATTTCCAACAAACTACAGACATTCATCAACAACCGCCACCTATGCTCACTCCATGCTGAAGATCACATACATTGCCAGAATAACACGAATAAGCAACAAGAAACTCTGACCTGGTAACGAACCAATCAACAACCTATCACTCAACAAATATGCACTGGAAGGAAGTGGAGATGGTCTGTATATTGGGCATACACTGAGAAGGCCGATTGGGTACATCACGCACCACGTCAGTCCCTCGAGTGGAACTCAGATGTGAAAGGTCGAGTTGGGCGTCCGAGGCAAGAGTGACATGGACGAGATGGTGTGAGGAAGACATGAAAGCTTGTGGGCAGTCGTGGAGCGAGGTTCAAAAGACTACAGAGAACAGAGTGCACTGGAGACGTGCTACTGAAACCCTGTATTCCACTAGGTATCCAAGGGAACAATAATCATATTTATAATACATGAATCTAAATTAGAAAATAGATGAATTTAATTCATTTAAAATGCAGACAATTATACGTTAGATGTACATAAGGGTAGACACACTCATAATAATAATAATAATAATAATAATAATAATAATAATAATAATAATAATAATAATAATTATAGACAAAAGATCACTCACTTGAGTAGTAGTTTTCATTACAGGCGACAAAGCAAAGATACCCAATTTACTACTAAATGCTTCTGATGTACTGGATCGAATGGGTGTCGTTGTATTTGGAGTACTAATAGCCGACGTGGCGGCAGTAGTAGCAGCAGCAGCAGCAGCAGCAGAGAAAGTCGTTGTTACCATTAAACGCTTATTAGTAGGACGAGTTTTTCCACTGTTTATTAAATATGATGTTGATATAGGTGTATAATTTAATGGATACCAGTCAATTGAATTCAATTGATCTAATAATTCAACTAGATTAGAACGATATACTGATATCTTATCAGCTGATCCATCAGTATTAGGAAATAATGAACAGATAGAATCAGTCATTAAACGATTAGTATTCGATGATATACTTGATGCAATTAAATCCGCCAATTTCAATATCTCCTGACAACTTTTATAAGCCTCTAATAATTCAGTTGATTTTTTCTCTGTTAACATTACTTCAACAATATCCAATGCAGTTTGACCATTAAGATTTAATAAATGAAGAATCTGAAAAGGTAAAAGGTAAACAACACTCATTATCAAATGTAATTTATTCTGTATATGCTGAACTCATGATTTGATCAAAAGTATGATTTGTTATTCCTTATAGACTGATATCAATTGGAGGAACAAAGGAAACCTAGAAGAGCTGAACATCTGTTTCATCCTAGTGTGGGAATCCTCAGCAGTGTGCACCCACGACACCGACAGGGATCGAACCCGTGACCTCCCGACCGATAGCTGTTACCTTGACGTGGTGGTCGGGCTTGCATATCACAATGACCCAACGAGCTATGCTGGTGGAACGCTTGTTCCCTCGAGGTCCTACCATACCAGAAAGGTCTGTTGGGTAGTGGTTAGACGAAAAGCAGTTACCGTTATAGTGTAAATTGCTACACTATGATGGGGGTCTGAGGGCGAAGTCGTACTGCTGCTAGCTGGATGGGGTGTGACAGCAGTAAGGTGTTTCCCTTGGATGACCAGCAGTGCCAAGCTGATGCTGCCTTCTCAGTGGAAGGGGGGGTTAGAAAAGGTCGGCCCCAAAAATAACACACTCCACCACGCCCCACGGTCTGCCGGGCCGGCGGTGTTGGTTCACTTGTCGTTTCCTTTCGCTCATCCGGCCCCAAAAATACAAAAATTCAAAATAATCATACTCAAAAGGCTGGGTGTGACAGGCCTCAAGCAGATGTCCGATGGGCTCTGCGGTCACACAAATCTCTTTCAGGTACCTTAAGAAGAAATAGCCTTCCACGGTGTGGGCAGCCGGGAAGTGTCAACCGCCCTCACAACTCTGTCAGCACCCAAGTTTCTTCTGACTGCTATCCTCCTCCTCCATCATTACCTTCTAATCTTCCTTCACGTCTCTTAATTAATGATGCTGCATCATCTTCAATTTCTCCTACCTCTGCAGCCTTCGACAACGATCTGAGTCCACAGAACAGCATCCCTGGTCTCCTTAAACCACGCTCCAAATTACATATTGGAGCCTTCAATGTCCGCACCCTCCGTCAAATTGGCCAACAGGCTTCGTTGGCAAAGACTCTAGCAACTCGGGCATGGATGTGTGCTGTGTTTGTGAGACACGCATACAGGACCCAAGTGTGGTTATTCACCTGACCTCTCCTGACCAATCTGGTGAATCTGCAAAATTCACCCTTCGAGTTTCTGGAGATTCGATAGCTAGCTCTCGTGGTCTTGCAGGTGTAGGTATAGCATTAAGCACCAGGGCAGAAAACTCACTACTAGACTGGATCCCAGTTGATAGTCGCCTCTGCGCTATGAGGCTGAACGGCACAGTGAGAACTAAAAGGAATAGTGAGACTCGCCGTTGTCTCTTTGTAATCTCTGCTTACGCACCCACTGACTGTAGTTCGGATGAAGTGAAGGACGAGTTCTACCATAAACTGTCTAACCTCCTCTCGAAAGCCAAACGTTCGGACGTAGTGGTTGTTGCAGGTGACCTCAACGCACAGGTGGGTAGACTGAGTGAGGCAGAAAGGCACTTAGGTGGCACTTTCGGAATCCCAGCTGAACGTACAGATAACGGTGATCGCCTATTACAACTATGCTCAGATAACCGCCTATTTTTAGCCAGCACAAATTTCAGACATAAAGAAAGGCACTGTCTGACCTGGCGTCCACCGAGCTCGACTCAGCGATGGACACAGATAGACCACATTGCTATTAGTCATCGCTGGAGAGGATCGGTGGAAGACTGCCGCTCCTTCTGGAGTACGTGTTTGGACAGCGATCATGCGTTGGTCCGAGCACGTATATGCCTGCGTCTCAATGGACGTAGAAAAAATTTGGCAACAAAACCACTACGAGTTCTGCTGGACAACGAAAACACCAAAGCCGTGTTCAGTGAGAAGTTGGCTAGGCAGTTATCGGAACAAAAGACTGTCACTCATCCAGAAGAAGCTTGGTGCCATCTTCAGTCTACTGTAAAAGCAGCACTGGAGACTGTAGCCGACTCCAAGATAATGGCTAAAAAGAGCCAGTGGATATCAGCAGCTTCTTCCAAACTAATGGATGCACGTGAATGCATCCCTGCAGGCTCTGAGTACAATGAAGAGCGAGCGCAACTTAAAAATAAACTGACGAAAAGTCTGCGCAACGATCGTGAACAGTGGTGGGCAGCAAAGGCTAAAGAGATGGAAAAGGCAGCGGCGATCGGTAACAGTAGACAGTTATTTAGACTTATTAAGGAGACTGGGGGGAAATGGTCAACAACAGTTAGTGAGGTTATAGCGGAGAAGGACGGATCGGCGATTCACTCGCAGGGAAGGCGACTGGGACGATGGGCAGAACACTTTGAGGAACAGTTTAACTGGCCTCCAGCCACCATTGCGCTGCCCGCTATCCAGTCGGACCCTGAATGGGACATAGAGACAGGTCCCCCAACACTAGAAGAAGTTGAGAAAGCGGTAGGTAGCCTGAAACGGGGAAGGGCAGCAGGACCAGACGGACTACCTGCTGAGGTATACAAGAATGGTGGTAGAGTTCTCTTAGTCAGGCTAACGGAAGTGTTAGCCAGTATATGGGAATCAAATACGATCCCCTCCGACTGGTCTAAGTCACTCATCATCCCAGTCTTCAAGAAAGGCGAGAAGTCCTCTTGTGATAACCACAGAGGAATCAGCCTGACAAACATAGTGTCTAAGATCCTAAGTTCTATAATTCTCCGACGCCTGAGTGGAGCTCGGGAACAGCAAGCCCGAGAAAACCAGGCAGGCTTTAGACCTGGCCGTGGATGTATCGACCAAATATTCACACTGCGCCAGGTCCTGGAACATAGGCATGCTTACAGACGCCCGACAATAGCTGTATTTCTCGACCTGAAGGCGGCATTTGACTCCGTTGATCGAGAAGTCTTATGGCAGTGTCTGTCACTGAAAGGCGTGCCTAGTAAGTACATCACCTTATTGAAAGCTCTCTACTCGAACACTTGTGGGCATGTTAGAGCCTATGGTGAGTTGTCCAGGGAGCTATACTCATCAAGTGGTGTCCGTCAAGGATGCCCACTATCCCCATTCTTATTTAATTTTATCATAGATATTCTTATGGAGGTTTCCCTCTCGTCACCTAATTACAAAGACGTTGACCGGATCACAGGTGAATTTTCCTTAGATCTAGAATATGCAGATGACATAGTCCTGTTAGGTGAAGACGCTGACAAGATGCAGAGTCTTCTGAACACTTTGAGTGGGAATTTGAGAATGTTTGGGATGCGATTTTCACCACCCAAATGCAAATTTTTGCTCCAGGACTGGTCTTCAGCGGTACCGCGGTGGTTGAGTGTGTTGACCACTTCACTTACCTGGGAAGTAGGATCAACCCGGTGGGTTAGTTGCCGATGAGATTTCTGCACGGATACAAAAGGCTCGATTGGCTTTTGCCAATTTGCGCCACCTATGGCGCCGCCGTGATATTCGTTTGTCTATTAAGGGTCGCGTGTACTGCACAGCAGTCCGCTCTGTTCTACTGTATGGCTGTGAAACATGGCCATTGAAAGTGGGGATACAAAAAGGTTTCAGGTGTTTGACCACCGTTGCCTTCGTAGTATAGGACGTATTCCGTGGTGTCACCATGTGAGTAATGCAGAAGTTAGGTGTAGAGTTTTAGGGAGAAGAGGTAAGTCAGTCGACGAGGTTGTGAACCTTCATCGACTGAGATGGTTGGGACACGTACTACGTATGCCTAGTCACCGATTGCCTCGTCACACAATGTTGGCTGAGGTGGGTTCAGGCTGGAAAAAGGCCCGAGGTGGCCAGACTAAAACATGGCACCAATGTATGAAGTCTCTGACTGTTGGTTTAAGCCATGTAGGACGATGCAGACTAGGTGGTTGGGGTCCACGGGACAAGAGGAACCAGTGGTTGGAGACCCTAGGTGATATGGCTCAGAACCGAAGTCAGTGGCGCAGATGTATACACACATTATCCTCATCTTAACAACGCTATACCGAATCTCACTATTTTGTCACTCCTCTTTCCTTTCTTCTCGTACTTTATATTTCTTTTGACTGCATTCACTTATCTTCATCCTTCACCTCACTACCTTTTTACTTGATGTGCTGATATGAGGTGTGGCAACTCGGACCGTTACGCAGTAATGCCTGGTCCTATGTTGATAATGATGATGATGAACCCGTGACCTTCAAATTCCGTGGCCAGCACGTTACCATTGAGATAGCCACAAGGTCAGCGGAATCCAATGGTTCATATTTCCAACTTCTGTTAGCTCATGATGTAGCGTAAGCGCCATCCAATGTCATCGTTGAGCAACTGTCTTCATAACCATCACGCTTTGTTGGCTACGGAACCTGAAAGTCACGGGTTCGATCCCTAGCGGGGTGATGCATGTGCACTGCTGAGGAGTCCCATACTGGGATAAAACAACTGTCTAGTGCTCCCAGGTTTCCTTTATTCCTCCAACTGATGTCAGTCTACGATGAATAACAACTTGAAATATTTCCGAATCCCCAGAACTGCCTCAAAAGTATGAGTGTAATAACAGAGACAATGTGAACAAAAATATGCTGAATTGACATATACCCTGGACCGATGAAAAGAGCCTAGAAGATTTGGATTTCGTCGACGATGACTTGTATCTTATGTCACACAAACTTGGAGATCTACAGGCAAAAACTAACAAGTTGACAGAAGAGGCAGGGCAGCGAAAACGGGACTTCAAGTGAATGTAGAGAAGACAGAGGTGATGAAGATACTCAACCACCACCACCATCACCACCACCAACAACAACAAGATCAAATCACCATCAACAGGAGAAACCTAAAGGAAGTAGCCTCTTCCACTTATCTAGGCAGCACCGTTTCAACTACAGGTAGCGGTGACACAGACTAGGACGTCAAAGCCAGCCAGAATCGGAAAAGCAAGACAGGCTTTCATCAATCTGAAATCACTGTGAAGATCTACTGCACTGCACTCAGCATAAAGCGAGAACAACATCCGCATTTTCAACATGAACTCAGTCAAGTAAG